AGACTATGGTTACTCTCATCATCCTTACTTTTAATTTCACATTACATATCAGACCATTTTTAGATTGTAATGTTCATTTAGAGGGTCGAATCACTTGTATAATACAGATTACAATTATCCACTTAATTTTCTTATTCAGTATTAAATAGTCCAAACAAAACATGAAACAATTGTTTACAGAAAATAATCATTTGTTCTGCCCTTAAACTTTTTAACATGTCAGTATTTGCTCATAATCTTTTCAAGGAATTAATACATTTGGCACACAGCTAGGCTTTTCTCTTATGTTCATGGGAACACAATGATTTATGTCTTGTAATTGGAGTTGACTTAAACAACACAGATAATTTTTAAACTGGCATTGTGGTTATTGAATATTAGTATGAATAACTATTTCTTTATAATTAGCATTAGCATGTGTTTATTATTTTCAAAGAATTATCCATGTGTTCATGGCCCACCCTTCAACAGTGGCTTCCATTAATTTCAAAATATAATAGGAAGCAGGGTTTACAGTTTATTTTTTACAGTTTATTTCACTTCCCCTTCAATAGGATCTGTGGCGAAAGCCAGCTTTTTTGTACAAAGATTCTGAAAAAGTTTTAAGTTAAGTCCAGATGTGTAAGTTAGAAAGCTGTTTCTTTGCAATGCTCGATGGTGGGGCTCGATCAGATGGCAGATAAAGGCAGCCTTTGGGAGAGCAGACACAGGGTCTTTTTCTCAGGTTGAGAAGTTAACTTCAGGCTGAATTTTCCTCTTCTTGTTCTTGAAGACTGTTAAGCTGAACCTTTAACTCTCATTTATTCTCAGTGATCGCTGGTAATTTTCCCTTGGAAAAGGGAGAGGCAGTCTTTAAAATCTGAAATTGAAATTGTCCAACTTGTCTGCCTCTCTACTTTACAATCTCCTTTCTTAAATAATCCCACCCCGGCACCTTTCTTTGTTATCTTTTTAATCTGTGTTTAGGACAATTATTCAGTATTTCCAAACATATTTCTCTTGTTGAACTTTGCTTGATTCCATAGAAGAAAACATTTTCTCATTATGCTATTGCAAAAAGTCTTTTTTAATCGCTTATTCCTTATCTTCCTTTTTTGTCCTGTAGTTACTGAAACTGTCATAGGAAGCCTTCTCAAATAACCTAAAATCTATCCTCAGTTAATTTGGTACAACCCCTGAAAGTTACAGTAGATTTATCAAAACTTTAGTTCAAATACGGGGTAAGTAGAGAGGAAGGAGGGAACAATTGAGTTGTGATTTTGATATTGTTAATCAAGAACATACTGCTTCGGCTCCTAGTAAAATCCTTGTTTTCTCCTGGTTTGCCTGTGTTGCTGGGTGGGCCTCAAAGCTTATTGCCCATGGTTGGACACAGGTATCAGCTGCACGGGGAGGTGAGGGAAACACTGGTCCTGGTACCCTCTCAGACGGCACTGTTAAAATAGGTAGGAGCAGAGCGCATTTGGATTGTCCGTAAAAGCATTTAATACCATAGCGCTGTTCATGGTGTTTACCCAATATGACAGAAGATGGTTCTCCACCCACTCCCTTTATTAATTGCAGATGTATCTTTCTCCCTTACAAACTGGGGCTGCTAGTTTTAAAATGTGGTTTTCAGTTGTCCTGAGAGAAATAATCTGTTTCTTTTTCTCTATAAATCTCTTTCTATCATGTTGTGTCATATTAACTCTGCATACAATTTTCTCTGCACCTTAAAACAATTCAGAGAGTCCATTTTTCTATTTCACAAAATAGCCCCTCCAGTTTTTTCTTGTTGTTGTCTATTATTTCTTAGTAGCACAGTTCACAGGCAGGGTAATACCACTAGCTCCAATTTTGAGTAACATTTCAGGTTTTCTAGTGGTTTTTCTCATGTTTGTTTTCAATTTATCACACCTAATTAAAAGAAAACAAACAAATAAACAAAAAACCTGCTGAATACAGCTGGAGTAATAATTTTTTTTTTTTTTACTTTTCCTTGTCCTTTTTACAATTTTCTTTGTCTTGTGGAATGCTGGGCTGTATTTTAACACTTGTCGGTTTGTATTATAAATTGACATATTTATTCTTTACTAAAATGTTAGTTTCATTACTGAAATGTCAGCTCTTAAACTCTGTGGCTATTTCACTTTAGTGCATGATATGCTGAGTATATACAGACCATTCATATGCTGCTATAATCCACTTAATTTTGCTGTGTTGGAAGTCCATTTTTCTAACTTTTGGGGTACACCTCATGATTATCACCTGACAAGTGTCTGATCAGCAACGCTATGGAGGGATTTTATTGCTGTGTCCAGCTTCCTAGCGGGAAATGTACTGTAGATAGAGCCAGATTTTTCTTGGAATTGCACAGCAGAGGTTGGGGGCCACAGGGCACAAGTTGCCACAAAGGACATTCCAACTAGATATTGGGGAAATTAATCCACCGTGAGGCTGGTTGAACATTGAGACGCTGCCTAGAGAGTTTGTGAAATCTCCATGCATTCAAAACTTGAGTGGAAATGCCCCTGAGAAATTTGATCTAACTTTGAAGTTATACCTAACTTTGAGGTTGGCCCTTTGAGCAAGAGCTTTGTTCAGGTGGAGGTCCCTTCCTACCAAAATTATCCTGTGGTTCTATGATAGATCTGCACTGGGTCAGCTACAGACACTCTTGAGGACATCTCCACAAAGTGTGGATGCATGAGATGACAAGGTCACTGGTCATCATTGAATTATACGGATTTTGTCCTTTTGTGATTCTGTAACCTCTTCAGAATCACTTTAACTTTGCCTGAGCAGCTTTTCCAAATTGCCTGGTCTGTTATTTTGTTCTGTATTCCTCCTAGAATATGAAATATAACTACAGGGCAAGTGACATTGGTTGACTGCCACCTATTCAGCGAGATATTGCAAGGTCATTGTGGCGTAAAGGCTCCCCCGGGGACTCCTTTCCTCCTGCAAGTGTAAAAATGATTCCACATATCTGTCATCTGGTCTATGCCCTGAGAAAATGTAGGACCACTGGAAATCGTAGGATTTGAAGCCATTTTGTGCTAATATTGTTCTACCATAACCTGCTCCCCCCGCTGTGAAATGTTGCATTTTTAAATTCATTTATGCTTCCACTTTGGAAAGTGCGATTCGGAAACATGCTCAGTCAAACACGGAGGGAACAGTGCAAGTGGTATAACTGCTCTATGGCTATTTGCAAGTAGTGGCGAAGACGCTGCCCGACTCACCTGGGCATTTTGGCGTTGGTGGTCAGGAGGGGTTGTATGTGTGTTTGTGTTCATTACTGAGGAGCAGACATCCCGGGAGAGTTACAGTGTATGCGTTGGGTACTGCAAGGTGACTGTCTATGAATTAGCTTCTTCAGTCTATAGGTACCTCTGAAGTGGAAGGAGTTATGTACTGGAACTGCCTCCCCATGCATAAGGTTATTTCTGTGTAGGAGATGCGCTCCCACAGTATTTCGTCCACCCACTTCACTTCTCTGAGAAAATTTTTTAACACTAAATTTTCCATTCCATTGATGTGCAATGCACTGTGTAAAATACCAGGTAAATATGGTTGCTAAGAGCCTTGTTTGTATTATGTTCTATGCTAATTTGAATTGAATTAAGACTTTGGAGAACTGAGGAGGCTGGTCTTAAAACTTCGTTTGCTGAAATTATCCTTGCAGGCTTGGACATAATTATACTTAGGCCGAGTAAATATAAAGAAAAAGCATGAAAGTGGTTTTATGATGGAACAGTACTTTCCAAGTTTATGAGAGATTTGTTTTGAATATCACTGCATTTTTTTTAATTCATACATTTTTTTTAGGTCCAATCAAATATTGTATATGCCTAATAAAAATAATCTATAGTATATATAGCATATTATTATATAACATATTGTACATTTTATATATGATTTTTTTCTGAAAGTAAAGTCAGCTTAGTGCTGACTCAATTTCAGTCCATTTTTAACTAAATGCTTGTTTCACAATTTTTTCACATTTCATACACATAAAAATATTATTTAATGAAAGTTATGTTAAAATAATGATGTATCTTTAATTACAGAAATCTTTATCTTACATGATACAAAAATGTAGATTATTTCAATTCAGAGATATAGCACAGAAAGAAGGAATATACCCACGGTTCTTTAAGCATCCATTTAGTCACAGCTCTACGCAGTTACTGATAAGGTTTTAATTTCACTCCAGTGCTGTGACTACTCTGTATGGTTAAGTTGAGCAGTGTCAGAAGTGTTCTTCTCATCAGAGGGTTTAGGAAAAATCTTGTATTCAAGTTTATCTGTATAAGTGTATTGCTACAGAGGCATGAGTTGATGCATTACAAAATCCCCTTTGGGCGTATCCGTGTTTGTAATGTAAAAGAATGTTCTCAAAACTAAAAGTAAAAGCACACTTGGGAAAATATTTGGGTTTTTCTAATGCCACATGCACCACCTTTCGTCTGGTATAATGATGACTTTTCTGTAAACTCCGAAACAATGGAGCTCCACACTACCTTACGCTAATAAGAAATACAAATTCTGCAGCAAAAACATACTGGAGGCCTAAATAAAAATTAAAGACATGTAAATGAAGCAAAATCAGTATATACTGGATATTAAAAAATTACAATCAACCTCCTAAGCACAGAAAAATTATAGTAATGCAACTCGCAAAGTTTTATTTATTATTTAAACAAAATTAGAGACTCAGGCATAATAGTAATGTCACAAATTAATATAAAATCACTCTGATGGTAGTTACTGAGTCCTCTCTGAGTTACTGGAATGTTTATGCCTTTTCTTAACAGATCTTATAAATTTAGAAAGCTGTAAAAACATACAACTGGTCATTGTTATGTGCGTTCTAAAACCAGATTTTTTTTAAAAAAGGCAAGAGATGCAGTGATGGTCTCTTGCCTCTACATTGGTTCCAATATTTCAAATAGAAAATGCAGTCACTAAAATTTGATATAAGCAATGCACCGATATTTTTATTTTCTTTTTCACAGATTAAGATGCTTGGTAAAGCAGCTGGAGAAGGGTGACATTAATGTGGTGGATTTAAAAAAGAATATTGAATATGCAGCGTCTGTGCTGGAGGCAGTTTATATTGATGAAACCAGGTAAGTCGGGGGGGGGGGGGAGGAAAGGATGTTGGGAATCACATTTTAGAAATTTGGTCTTTGCGTGCAGTTGTAACTGACATGACCTGAAGGTCTCTGCACATCGGAAGAATCATATGTGGCTCTTAGGTCTTTTAGTGACAAGGTTAAACCAAGTAAGATTCCAAAGGTCAGATGTTACCGTCGTCTGGAGAGTTTGCCTAGTTCTTGTCTCCCTCACTTGTCAAATGTCCACAGTATAAAGTCATAAGAATTTTCTGAAGGATGGATTTTCTTTCCCCGACAGGCCACATACCAATAATAATGCTGAAGACAGTATCGCTGAAAAAAAATGAGTGGTTTTGGAATGAAATGCTCACAGAGATGAGTCAGAATATTATAATCTGGCCTGTAAATACATAAATTCATGAAAAGCTGTGATTTATTTTATAATGTTTGATGCTTTGTTTATGATTATTGTTACTGGCAGTATTACTGGCAATCATCTTTGATGTGGGTTGACTCCAATTAAATTAGAAGTTCTAAGTATTTGGCTTCTTGAAAAAATTTTAAGATATGTACTATATTGGAGTTAACTAGCTAACTTACTTTTTTTACTTCAGTGTGCTGGTCTCTTTAAGTTTTTTTCTAAGCAGAATGGTCTTGTAAAGATGTCTGCCAAAACTTCTTCAATACTGCTGGAGCATGCAGTGTATGTCTCGGTTCCATACTACGTTTAAGTTGTCTGCCATCGTACTGATTATTTCATGGACCTAACTCTCTCTCTATCCCTTCCCCCTCCCCCCCCCTTCCTCCCTCCCCCACCCCCCTTGCAAATCTGATACGGTGCTTAAAGTACTGCTCTACCTTTTTCTTTTTTCTTTTCCTTTGATGTGTGTGATTCACACACCAAACCTTGCCAGTCAGGAATGTGGAGCATCTCCTACTGGGCGATAGAAAGCCTACTCATTTGAAAACAGGAGAATGAAAACAATAGCAAATAAAACTGGTACCAATGGTCCATTTTTCAGATATTATATTATATATATTACAGACTAGATTGGCAAGATCACTTATACTGTTGTCCTGCTCTTAGAGTGCATGCATGTCCAATTCTGTAAAAAAGATGACCTGAGCAGCCTCTCAGCCACAATACAGTTCTTAGGGACACTCTCAAAAGTGTTGCTAGTGATCCCAAGTTAAATACACAACTTGAAAAGCATTAGGAATCTCGGTGACTTCAAAAGCGCTCACATGTCATGAAGATGTTGACAGATTCAGTTAAATTAAGCTTAACTGAGCAGACTTGGGCAAACCACCTTGTGTGACTTCCAAGGGACCTGGGCTTTGTAAGAAAACTGAATGAATTTAAACTAAATATTTTAAAATACTGGGAGTTAATATACCACTGTGGATATATTTATATCAGTTTTGCTGACTGACTTAAGTTAATCAAGCTTCTTTGACATTGAATCAAGGATTGATTTGTTGATTTACATTTGTTTATAGTCATATTTGTAGTTAAATTGATACAGGTCTTTAGGGAGACAGATAAAAGAAATTATCAACAAACTTCTCTTTGGCCTCATATTAACACAATGGAGGCATAAAATTTCGTTTTTCAGCAATTGTTCTAAACGTAAATCTTGTTGGCCCATCTCACGTGCTCAGGAAGCTTTGGAAGATCGTGGTCCTCTCTCCCCTGCGTTATGGGATATTGCTTCGCCACCAGTAGTCAGAGCTTAAGCCAGTGTTTTGTATTAATAACCATGGGAGCTGTGTCAAAGCTGCATATGGGACAAGGACATAAACCACTGATTATTCCTTCCATATATCTCCCAAACACTGTGGTTAAATGGGTATAGTATTCATAGCTCTTTCGCAGTAATAGCACCGGGACTATGAAAATAATGTGAGATTTACTTAGTTTCTAAACTGAGGTCTCAGTGGAAATGAATAGTATCATTACAATGAGGAATCCAGTCTTTCTGGCTCTGTGTGGGAGCATCGAGAAAAGTAACAGACATTTCATACACAGAGAAAACTGGTACACCTGAAAATACATAGGCTTTGGCAGCAACAGGTGCATTATTTTTACTGTAAGCAAATATTTAAATAAGCTAATTGCCCTCATAGAACTTAACAGCAGGATTATTAAACTACCTAAGTGAAAATAAACATATATAATTTTATAGGGGTTTGGAAGATTTTCATAGCTATTTTCTTAATCCTAGGGTCATTATGACCTCGTGACGGTGACTATTTATTTTCAGAAATTCTACTTCAGTATATGGATGAAACTTTTCCTCTTCCCTAGCTTGATGTACAACAATGTTTAATCCTATTTATTTATTACATCCAATATTTTGCAGAACAATCTGATTTTTCACTGTGCTAAGTCAGAAAGGAAATCAAACCAACCTGAGAAAGGTATCTTGCTTTGTTCCAATTTATTGAACATTTCTATTCTCCAATGCAACCTCAAAGTAAGTTTGTAAACCTACCAAATTTTGGTAGCATTCCTTATATACATATGCATTAAGCATATGGTTTATGTACATCTTTCCATACCTATAGCTATATTTCTGAAGAATATGTTTGTAGACATATAAAACAAATTCTCTTGCCCATGTTACTTATACTATAAGTAATAGTTAAAAATGCAATGACTTTAATGAAACCTACTTTTCAACTTTTATTCTCTTATTTTTAGTGTTTTGCATTTTATACCCCATATTCTTCACTTTGGTTTATAGTGTTTGATTTTGTTTTTAATTTATCTTCCTTTGACTAATGCAGTCTCCATGAAATTCAGACTCAGAGTGATGCATTTTTTGAACCTGTTGGTCTTTGAGTTAAATTTATGCTAAGAATATAGGCTGAGCCTCCGCTTCTTAGTTGGAAAGTATTATGTATAGTTCTGTTTTAAATTTTGACACTTCCCCATTAAAAACAACTTGTAAATTAAGATATTTATTGTGTGGCAGAGAGAAACTGTAGTCTCCACCGGTACTTTCATGGTAAACTCTTTTGCATGGCAAACTGCAAAGATAATCCCATTTTAAATAGCGTGACCAGTATTCTGTAGTCTAAATTTGCACTAAAACATTTAACACACAAAGAAGGTCTCTCCAGCTTCTGGGAAGCTAGTTTTTAACTGAACAGAAGCAGTGTATCATTGAGTCAAATGGCAATGGAAGCTGGAATTAACTTGTGTTACATTTGTCCTTGTTCCCACCAAAGAATACAGGTTCTTTGTCCTGCACAGAGCTACTGCTGTCAGGAGTCTGGAATGGAATTAACTGAACTCATTAGTAGATTAGAAATAATAGTTTAGAT